AATAAGTAAAGTATATTCATCTTACTAATATTATAAATGCGATTTTTAGTTGGATGTTTGTTAGAACGACTGCACAGATCTCTCTGAAATTTGGCATAGTCTGGAAGAACACAGGCTATTTATTAAGTTATTTTTTTAATCCCGCCCGGACCGAGTCACGGGCGATAGCTAGTACTTTAAATAAATAACCTAGAGTTTGGCAATGCATGTTATTGTGTACAATATACTAGTTTATTCGTACGTGCTGCAAGGAGAGCGGTCATTACTTCCTTTGGCGTTTTACCGCCCGGTTGTAAGGCGATGCTGGTTTATTGCATGTTCATAAACGAGCCGGGTTGTAAACTCGGGAGCCACGCCGCCTTTTACGGTGCAAGTTAAAAGCGGCTCAATTTCTTAAGGAACATATACCTCTAGTACAGTTGAATCTGTTAGAGCTTTAGGTAACATTTGAAATTGATGCAGCCAAACAAAAGACGATTCAAGCTTGAATTGCGATGTAATTTTTCTTATAAAATTAGTAAAACAAAAAACAAACCATGACATGTGTTCGCTAAAAGGTTATCTGTGGGTTTCTGAAAATCTCGTTTAAAACCTATTGTTATCTCTACTATGCCAAAGATAATGACAGGGATGACAATACGAAGATTTTGGTTTCAGAAATCGACGGTAAATAATAATATGTTAATTAGCCTTGTCAGCCAGTATTGTCAGCTTAGTGACACAAAATAAAGAAAAATAAAATAAACCGTACGGACAGTTACAATCTGTGATTACAATAAAATTATAAAATAAATAGACAAAAATTCTAATCTAGCGTCACGCCCACGTCCGTCGCTCACTCTATTTTTTTTTTTTAGTTTAATACAACTGATTTTCTTATCAAAGGGTATCCGGTATTGGTGTTGTCACAACTTGACTTCCGTGAGAAGAGATATGGGATAACGAACTTTTTTTAACGAAGCTTATTTTTTTTTGTTTTTTAGCCTCACAAATTTTCTTATTATACATATGTAGGACTTCGGTGATTAGCAGACGCAGAGAAAAATGTAAGGTGAGTACGCCTATGGCCTAGTGCTTCTAGGGACCTCAATAGGAATTTAACCTATAAAAATATTGTGCCAAAAAACAATAAGAGGTTAAAAAATGTAAATTACAATATTATGGATTATAACTCATAATACAAATAAAAGAAACATGTAGTAATTTAAGTTAAAAAGATATATCGCCTACATCAAATCCTGGAATTGCTCCGCAACTGGTGAGAAGTGATAAGGAATAACTTTTTGCAATGAAGCTAACATTCACCGTTTATCTCTTTTTAAAGACTTCTCGTAGGACAAACATAATACTTGTATAGTCGCTAATAAATTTTCTACTCATTAAATATATTTAGACGAAATCTAGATAGTGGGGTAGGGCACCTTCGAATTAATTAAAAAAACTTTTTTTCTTTTTGTAGTTTTAATTCTTTTTGAAATGGTATTCAATTATTCTGCCAAAAAGTGTTACTAAATTATAGTACATTTTACGAGTACTAGAAGATTACTTTCCAGTTCATTTGTTATTGTGTTTGTGGTAGACAAAAAGGATTCGTGATCCCGCAGAACATCTGGCGCGGTGTCGCCGCACGTCGCACGGAAGAGGATTTCAAGGGTCCCGGATTTATATCTCGCCAGTTAATTATTAACGGCAGTTTAAAACGTTTCAGCTCTCCCTCGCCTAATCTTCCATATCACGCTACCCTCGGCGAGACAGAGGGCGCGGAGAGAGGTTTGTCTACTTAATACTTTGTTTTTATTTCTATTGCAAACAGAATGAGGGTTGCAAGTTGCGTTTATATTTATACTAGGATCCTATTTGTTCTGCCTAGTCCCAGTTTTCTCATAAACAACCCAAATGAATGCACCAAATAACATAGTGTAACAAAGAAGAAAATAGTACGTTTTTTTATAACAGAAGGGGGCAAACAAGCAGCGGGAACACCGAGGTGTTCAACGACGCCCATGAACATCAGCAATACCAGAGGAACCGCAGATGCGTTGTCGGTCATTGAGGTGGTGATAAGCTCGCTTCTTGAAGGACCCTAAGTCGTAGCGTACTATCAAAAGTCTCTAAGTGTTCTTAGTACACTCGAACCTGGATAAGGGAGAAACCTCTATATGCGAGAAAAATATCACGGTCCTCTGGACTCTGATTTAACTTGTTTTTAATGTAGACATTGTATTTCTTGATCATAGTTAAAATAATGCAAAATAAAATTTGTAATGTCTTACACCTTTAAATAAATCATATTCATTTGATCACAGAGCCCTGAGTTCTTTTAAATTTTAATCAAAAGGGTTCATTTTTCATTCGTGTCAAAGTAGTTAACTAAAGTTAAACAAAAATTCTTGCTTTATATAATAACACATGTCTAACAGAGCAGAGACAATATCGTGACAAGACGAAACCGATTTCATAATTTATAACCAACGATTTTACGTTGCAGGTCTGAAGATCGACAGGGAACATGTATAAGAATCTTGCTTCATACTTGACCGTTAATATTCGAATAAGTTAGGCCATTAATTAAAAATAATCCTCTATATGCGGCAAAAGTCATTGGAAAATACTTAACGGTATCAAATGGCCATACACAAGCATAAAAAGTCAATGATAGCGACCCAGTTTGAATTTTTTAATCCCAACTAATTTAAAGTGGGCCAGCATCGGTGTAGCAAATTTTCGGTCGTTCAAATAAAACGCTGGAACATTTCCAGAACGTTACGTGATGTGTAAATGGACTTTTCGTATTCGCGGCGCATTAGTTTGTGAATCATGGTTGTGGAGAGTAATTTGCGAGCAAATCGCACCGAGGAGACATAAATACTGGCCGACTGCGCTCGCCGCTCCGCCGCTGATTTATAATGGAAAAAGAATTATTAACTGGTTATTTTCGGGCTAATTTCTGTTTGGAAACGTAACGCGGTTTAAATTGTCTCTACCATCCAAAAAAAAACGAGAATGCTAACTTAAAATGGAAACAGAATTCCTACAGCTATAACATTTTTATGACTATCAAAGAATTAAATATGTTTCCCGTTTAGGATATAATGTCACAAACTGATACTGGGATTTTCTGACAACCCTGGCTTTCTGAGACCAAAACCTATGTATGAAACATACTGTCATTTCTGTTCTGTCAAAGCCTTTGGTCTGGCAGTGATAACGATATGTTTTATACAAAGATTTGTCTTAGATACCGAGGGTAAGATTTATAAGTACAACTGGACATCTGGAAAGTCACATGACATTTCATTGGCGAGGAAATAAAGAAGCTCGTCTGTTCATGCATTATACCGAATGAAAATAAATCTAATATTGAAATGTAGGTTACACATGGGGATAATGAACGTCCAGATGTGAATAGTGATAGAGAATGGAAAGCGATATCAGCGTCGATAGCAGCGCGATGCATAAAATTATAATGATCGTGTGGCGAGCGCGCTGTCAACCCGTCAACTCATATCTAAGGCCATTGACACACTAGCGATTATTCATTGTATAACGATAGTAGAATATAGCATATAAACCATTTGGAATCAAAGAAAAATAAAGAAGTCTCAATTAGAGATCATAACATTCAGGAAAGGGGAATCTAGGCGTAAATAGACAGAAATTGTGCTTTAGATTTTTTCGATAAAGTTGGTTATACTGTAAACTTCGTAATATAGTTGTAAGGACATAAGGCATAATAAAATCTAAGTAGCCATTGTAATGGTTAACTTTATTCTTAATTTCTATAAATCCTATAAATTATAAATACAAGAGGCTTGAGCTTGGTGTGCATCCGTCATAACATAGCTATTGAACGCATTTCTTCCGTGAAATGCGGGTTTCGATGACATAATTGAATTATTCATTATCCATCAGAGTCCAGGCTGACGCTTGTACCGATAAATTGGTTAGCACAAAGTGAGCCTACCCGCGCTTGTAATTATGTAATAGCAATTCATTCATTTAACTTTTATTTTTAAAACCAGCGTTAACAAACATTTTTTTGGTAAAATTCACGATAAAATTAATCATGAAAGAGCTTCAATATAATTTTAATTGGTGACTTTTAAATTAACTAAATGCTGCCCCGAGACTTTTCAAGTCAAATCTACACTAAAAGACGATTCTAAGTATATCTGATAATTATAAAAATGGAGATTGTAAGAAAAGAAATGAAGGAAGAATTTAACAAAGAAAGTAAACTCCTTCACTCTAGGAGAGAGAGGGACGGAGAATGTAAGAAAGTTATCTCCAGCAACTCTAAGTAGATAAATACACCCAATAATGCAATTGATATTGAATATGCTGTTTCTATTTCCTTTAATTTTAAAGCCTTTGAACCGGGCAATTCATTAACGGCCGGGTACAACCGGGTATAGCCGGGTGTCCGGGCCACAAATATCGAAACTATTATGACCCGGGCCGCGCCCCGGCAATTATTGCCCGGTGCTGCTATTGTTTTATGGTATTTTCAATTGGACACTAAAATTGGCCGGAGCTTATCGAGAGCTGCAGGTACCGACAATTAATATTTGAATGTGTGTCGGTACTTCCTTTTAATTGCCTTTTAACTAGATGTAGTCTGTTACTATAATGTCTCTTATGTTAGTTTAATTATAGTAAACTGTAGAATTAGATATTTCATTGAACATTGCAGTAGATACTAAAATTAATATACCTTAAAGTATTTGAAAACGTTACATGTCTAATTATGAAGAAAATTCAAGTTAAAATAGCACCGTCTCAGTGATTGATAAATGGCTGTTAATCAATTTTTGTACAATACACAAATATTCTAAGACAACAAATATAGGAAAAACATGATATACGTTGTTTCCCAAACAAAACTTATACTCCTTGCTTAAAGGTCGACAACGCATGTGAAGTTCCTCTGATGTTGCGGGTGTTTATAAGCGTCCCTTTACCCACATCTCTAAGTATATCGCAAATGTATTCCTACTCACCGCTTGTATGAAGAAATCTTTGTGCAAGACGCTGACGATGCCAAAGTTGGTAAATTTGAAGACCCTGTCCATGATCCACATGAGATTCGCGAGGACGCCAGGGCGCGGGTTCCACGCCGCCATCAGGATTGGCACGTCCGCGGTGCTCTGGTGGTTGGATAGCACCAATGTGCGCCGATTGGAGCATGCTGCGGGGTCGTCGCCACTTTCTAGCACTGAGGACAAGTTATATAATTAAATCTAAGCATTCTTATATAACATTTGTAAGAAACAGGAATCTTTACGTTCTGTTCTAGGCTCTCAAAGTTCCCGATATTTGCAGCAATTGTGATAAAAATTCCATTTCTTACGAACATTATATCAGTAAAAGTACTAAAGTTTTAAAATATATCCGTAAATTAAGATAAATTATATAACTAACCCATTGAATTAATACAGTAAGAAATAATTTGGAAATCAATTGGGTCAAAATCAATTTAATTTCAGATGGATCGAAGACAAAGTGATGACTTCAGGATGTCAGACTGCGATTCATTACGAAGATCCTAAGGAAAATACTAAAGATCTGAATCCAGTAAAAGACTAACTTCCTTATCAATGCAATATTAAACCAACATTACAGTTTCCCCGTGCAGACCATTTTATGATTTCTTTTAAATAAAATTGTATGAAAATAACCGATGTTTATTTCCCCCGGAGCGCAATGTTCATAAAAAATAGCGATGCACTACATAATTTCACAATAGGGAGTAAACAACATTACCGATACGGGCATTTTCTTTTGAAACGACTCGAGGATTCAGGTTCATTCAAATGCAGAAGCGACGTACGAGTATAGAGCGCAGCTAAAACGATTAGAGTGCCAGTCCAACTAGGTTGACCATGGCTTTCCTGTATAGTATTTTATTCCCGTATATTTTCATAAAATTATTTCATAGTGTATTTTTCTTGTCATTATCAGTTTAAAATCTTCCATTTTTACTGTAATGTAATTTTTATTACTATTTTCTTACAATCAAAAGCTTTTATTGTCTATATTATTGGCGGACGACGCAAAAGACATATGAACTTTTATAAGTGAAAATCTCCTAAAGGGCCTATGTGGAATAGGTATGTACGTAGTCTTCTGAAGCAGTTGCAAGCAGGTAAAAAAGATACTTGTCGGACATATTTACTTGTTATATTTAAAGAAAATATTATTTTATTGGTATCCTATTGAAAAATTTTATATCATGGTCACCATACTGTGGATCCGGAAGAGTATTGTTTGTATTGCTCGCGTAAATACGAAGTTCAGTGAAATATTTATTTGCGCGGCGACCGTCCGGAGTCCTCCCGCTTCCCCCGCGCACCACCGCACACCTCACACCCCCTGTTTGCCGAACGTGACGCGCCGCCCGGAAATGGGTTCCGAACGATGTCTTGCGAATTTCATGGAAAAACGTACTCATCGAGACGGTCTAATATCTTCGATCAATGTTGAATAGACTCAGCTATGTTGAGAAAGGCACTGCCGACTACATAGGCGATACGATGTTGAGAATCTTTCGAATATATTCCCACGGCTCCGAAACTACTAAAGGGGACAATCTAAAATAATCTAAGCTCTGCTACGATTATTCGATTAAGGTTTATCATTTGAATTCTAACAAATTATATTTATCAGCCTTTAAAATAACACTGCAGTGCATAGACCTCTACAAAGTAAAATTATTGTCTAAGCGTAATTCGATGACATTACGTTAGATGGCGCCAATAAAAAAGAAAAAGATACTGGCACGTAGTGGAAGAGTGTATTGCTTTTATTTGAACAATTATCATACTCCTTTCTAAACTTACTGGGCACTATCATTTATATTACTAATAAATTTCGATTAATTCATAAATACTATAATGTTTTTATTACTAGAATGTATAACAAAGTTTGTAGAAAATAAGTAATAAGAAATGCTCTCTAATAAATACACAAAAAGATGTAAATTTATCGGCACAATATAATCTGGCTGGATTAAAGAGAACACTAAATAATAAAAAACAAAAACCACCTTAACCGTATACTCATGTTCAATTTAAAAATCAACAAAAATAGAGAATTCTATTTAAATTTACATAACATAAAGGAGAAAAAACGATGATTTCGACTCAAAATATATAACGTAGAGTATTAAGATTCAGAGTTACAATCTATCTGCTTAAACTCCGCTCCCTCGACCTGCCTAAATAAATAGAGCGTACTTCCATCAACTGTAGAGTAGATAACATCTCGGCAAATTGCGAATTTAAATGTCGTCTAGTTTATTGATACCTAGCAGCTTTTTTAAACATCCTTTCAAATCGAATAAAATCAAAGCTTCGAATCGGTATTTTTAGTTATTATTTATAAAGAAACTCATCATCATCAACCTGCCCTTATCCCTATCGAGGGTCGGCACAGTATGTACTACTCCTCCATACATCTCAATCAGCCGTTATATCCGAGTCTTCCCCCTTCTTACGCATATCCTCTTTCACACAGTCATTCCATACTTTTTTTGGTCTTCCCCTACCCTTGTAGCCATCCACATTCAATCTCATTACTTTTTTGCTTATATTATCATCATCCCTCCTCATAACATGTCCAAACCACGCTAATCTTTTACTCCTCAATTTCTCGATCACTGGCGCTACTTATAAAGAAACTAAAATTCATATTATGTGTACTTCTAAATAATTATTATGTTTATGCATTTACCAAACCAAAATTAAATATGCAATAAAACATTGTAATAAGATTTAGCGGAGCGAGCGGGCACTTTTATTAAGGCTCGGCTGAATTTTACGATTCATCGTGTTATGACGTCACTGAATACAACACTCGGAAACTGTTAGTTTAGTGTACTACTACATAAGCATAATGTAAATAACACCGCAATAAATCTATGAACAGGCCAGAAATGATAGCTATAAACCATTATTCTACCGAAAAGAGATTCTAAAAATATTCTAGATTAATATGTTAATACTAAAAGACATAATATTACGCTAATTACTAGTCAGAAAATATGTCTTAACGAGAAATATTTTACTATTAAAAGAATTCAAAGCGAAGCTTTTTTCAATATAGCAATATTAATCCCCGCGGTGGAAACACCGGCAACTCAGAGGTGGGGTGGCGAGGAGACGGTAAAAGAAAACTCTTCATTAAATCCCTTTATTAGCTCGTAATACTACGAAAGGGACGGCACCATGCAACAAGGAGCAAGAAAACGACCGAACGCATTTTATGTCTTCACCTAAATTAAATAAACAAAATTAATTTAATACAAGCCACAGAAGTATAATATTTAAAAGTTAGGATACTATTATGCCAATAATGCATCAATTAACTTCAAATTCAAAGATCGCATTTTTGACTCTAACGAATTTGAATTCTACAAAATAATTCAATTAGTAGATTTTACGAGTCACGTGAAGTGAAGAAAACAAAATCATATTTATATATCAGAATTATTCCTTATTAATATAAATATTTGCGACCCTCCATTTACGCTACAGCGAAGGTAATATTGACCGTTTACGTTAACATATGCCATATCCATATTATAGCTCTTGTCCCGTCCCTCGGGCGTTCGCGTAATTACCAAGGAACGAAACGGGGCTTTCATAACTGTCGTGACGATGCGAATTTTTTGCTCAAAGCAGTTAGAGCATATGAAATTGATGGCGAAAGTAATGTTAATCACTCTCACCTGACAGCTACGTCGAAACGGGAGCGTTATTTGCCGAATATATTGTCTAATATAATTGGAAGTGTTCACGTAATGACGGCGTGCTTTATGATTGCCTTTTATTATCTCTTCTAAATATACATCGTTTGGTTTCTTAGAAAATCAGTGTAAAACATATAATCATTTTAAAACGCATATTTTGGTTTCGGAAACTCACAGTTATACGAACATGTTAAACCATTAAGCGGACTGAAGATATTCATTACAATTAGGATCGGAAAATTTAATTAAAATATAACAGGATAAATACAGCTTTGTTTCTCACAGTTCCGTCAACGAAATGCAACCTTTAATTTTAAGACAGCGCTGTTAGATAATTAGGAGTATCATGTCACGCTCAGATTTAAGTGCTTAGGGCGGATAGAATTCGATCCCGCTAAAATATCTGTTACTTTGTTAATTTACATCAATAATAGTATTTGGGTAATTCTTTTTACAAGAAAAGTAATAGTTAAATGAAAAGTTTATATTTAATAAAACTTTCGATGACAGGATTAATTTGGAAATGAAATGTTAAGCGAATGTTCTAAAACACTGGCCACTTAACCATTATAGAAAGCTGAGAAGGAATGTAAATCTTCCCGTTTTATTAAAAAAAATGTACATCAACTAATGCAAGTAAATTATACCTTTTATGTTATTGATATTATAAATTCAAATTTAATGTATAGATGGATGGATGAATAAATAAGCTACTAATTAAGTTTTTTAATCCGCACAGACAGAGTCGCGGGGAACATTTAGTATGTACACAAATCTAATAAGATTGTCAAAGACAATATACCCGTACACCCTGTCAATATAATTAGAGCTATCCGATTTCATTACTACAGTGAAGCAGTGATAACAGGTCAAGGCAAAGCCCACGCTGCGTCGCCCGGGGTACTCAGCAGGGGGCGCTCTCTTCAATTACCAGAAACGCGTTAGATTGGAAAGATTTCCTTCATTCACGCTTATTACTTTGATACAGTCACATAAAAGAGACACCCTTGTAGCTATATTAAATGGACTTTGATTAATCACGCGTGATAATTGTGACAATTTTTTGACAAATATTTCTATATATGAAATTATAATTTCAAACTCCAGGCATTTTATAAGAAAACTAGATGTCGCCTGCGACTCCGTCTGCGCGGGATTGAATTAAAGATAGTAGCCGATTCTCAGAACTATTGAATATGCATATAAAATTTCTCAAAAATCTGTCAAACCGTTTCGGAGGAGTATCGTAACTAATATTGTTACACGAGAATTTTTTACATACAATCATCTTAAATTAGATTAGTAGGAAAAATACTATTTAATAGATTACTAAAAATATCTAGTAACCTGAAATATTCCAATAAAAATGTAACTGCAAAATATAACTATATTTAGTACAATCGTATAAATATGGATGGTATAATGCAATATGTGTTAATTTATTCATTGCGACTGCACAAAGTTCG